CTAGGAACGCTAGTTCTGACCTACGACTCAATGCTATACCTACACCAGCGAGACCCCGGGAAGCAGCATCAGGACTATCAGATACATGAAGAATAAATTGAGCTGCTTCTTTATTTTGACAAGGCGAAATCAAATTAATGATCTCGAGGGAGCTGAAAACGAAGGTAGATTGACGTTGGTCTTAACGACCTAGGAGCGTGACCGCAGAGTCCAAGGGACAACTGCTTGAGGCCGGTCACGCACAGCCTTTTGATGAAAGGTTTTTCGAGTATTAGCTCCGCTCTTGAAAGCCCTTAGTAGGCACCCTCACCGACGGAGACGGAAATCCGTGAGGCAGGGTGAGGTGTGACATTTTTAGAGTAGACCTTTTCTAACCCTTCCTTCCTTGTGAAAAGGCTGCATATGCTGGTTTTCCGAGGGAAACGCCTTACTGCTATCACACCTCTGCAGTCAGTAGTACAATTTCGCCCTCAGACCTTGAGTAGGTGCTTTTAGTCTCATCGTTCTCCAATCGATCTGCCTGGCATGGTAGAACCTTCAGGAACATATGTTCCAGCCAGTATAGCTCGGTTGGGTCATCACGATAGGCAAGCCCGACCACCACGTCAAGGTAACAGCTACGGTCGGATAAGATTAAAGTCAGAGGATAACAAACAGACGTAAGACAACTTGTGGGACTAGTGTCTATTGTTTCACTTGCTACAATTCCTGACCGAAGCTGCTACCTTGACGTGGTGGTCGAGCTTGCCTATCGTGATGACCCAACCGAGCTATACTGGCTGGAACACATGTTCCTGCAGGTCCTAGCATGCCACGCAGGTCGATTGGAGAACGATGAAACTAAAAGCAGCTACTCAAGGTCTGAGGGCGAAGTCGTACTGCTGATTGCAGAGGGGTGTGACAGCAGTAAGGTGTTTCCCTCGGACAACCAGCATATGTAGCGATGCTGCCTTCTCACAAGGAAGGAAGGGTTAGAAAAGGTCGGCCCTAAAAATGTCACACCTCCCCTAACTCACGGATTTCCGTCTCCTTGGGTAAGGTTGCCCACTAAGGGCCTTTAAGAACGGAGCTAATCCTCAAACAACGTTTCATAAAAAGGCCGTGCGTGACCGGCCTCAAGCAGTTGTCCCTTGGACTATGCGGTCACGCACCAACACTAATCCATCTTCCTTTTCAGGTTCGTCAAGAAACAACCTTCCACGGTGTGGGCAGCCGGAAAGTGATAACCGCCCTCATACCCGTAACAGCACACGAGACCGAATTGTTCAAAATCAAATCCTTCCTACATTCCCTAATACCTCTCTTATCTCCACAACTAACTCTTCTCACATTCATTTATTACAGTGCACAGCTAATGCCAACGATGCGAGTTTGCGAAACGTCGTTCCTGGTCTCCTTAAACCCCGTTCCAAACTACATGTTGGAGCATTCAATGTACGGACATTGTGTCAAATAGGGCGACAGGCATCATTAACTAGGACTTTAGAATCTCGTTCCATCGATGTATGCTGCGTCTCGGAAACGCGCATACAGGATCCCAGTAACATCACTCATTTGACCTCACCATGTCAAGATAAAGAAGCAGCTCGATTTACCCTTCGTGTATCCGGTAGCCCTGATGCTGCTTCTAGGGGCCTCGCCGGTGTAGGTATGGTATTATGTACTAGGGCAGAACTAGCTCTCCTAGACTGGATTCCAGTAGATACTCGCTTGTGCGCTGTCCGGCTAAACGGGACAATAAGGACTCGGAAAGATAGGGACACTGGTTGTTGCCTCTTCGTCATATCAGCCTACGCCCCCACTGACTGCAGCCCAGATGATGTAAAAGATGAGTTTTACAGAAAGCTTTCAGACCTCCTCCAAAAAGTTAAGCGCCCTGATATAGTTATAATGGCTGGTGACTTCAATGCACAAGTAGGTAGACTAAGTGAAAACGAAAGACACCTAGGTGGATGTTACGGTCTAGCGGCTCAAAGAACAGACAATGGCGACCGTCTGTTGCAACTGTGCTCAGATAACCGCCTATTTCTAGCAAACACTAATTTTAAGCATAAGGGAAAGTACTTTTTGACCTGGCGACCCCCGAAGTCGTCTCAACGTTGGACACAACTAGATCACATCGCCATCAGCCACCGATGGAGGGGTTCGATAGAGGACTGTCGCTCGTTCTGGGGCACATGTTTAGATTCAGATCATGCCCTAGTGCGAGCACGTATTTGTTTGAGCCTGCTTGCTGGACGTAGGAAAGATACCGTAAGGAAGCCTCTTAGGGCTTTACTTGATGATAATCAAGCTAAGAAAATATTTCAGGAGGAACTAGAAAAACAGTTAGGCGACCATACAAGTGATTCCCATCCTGAAGCAGGTTGGAATCATATCAAGAAGGCTGTGGGAACAGCAATGGTATCTGCTAGCAAGGTAAACCACAATGCTAGGATGAAGCAGTGGATTTCAGTCGCATCCACCCAACTGATGGATGCTCGAAAACGCATCCCACCTGACTCTGAGCATGATGAAGAGCGTAGTCAGCTTAGGTGCAGACTTATAAAAAGCCTACGTAACGACCGTGAACAGTGGTGGGTGGCGAAAGCAAAAGCGATGGAAAAGGCAGCGGCGATAGGCAACACTAGACAACTTTTCCGCCTTATCAAAGAAACCGGTATTAGGAACCCGAATGTAAGTGAGACTATCTCGGAAAAGGATGGTCTTATTATCCATTCTCAATCTAGGAGGCTGGACCGATGGGCAGAACACTTTAGGGATCAGTTCAACTGGCCTTCAGCCACTCTTCGGTTGCCCACGATCTCCAGTCATCCTGAATGGCAAATCGATTTAAGTCCTCCCAGTTTACATGAAGTTGAGAAAGCTATAGGAAATCTAAAGAGAGGTAGAGCGGCAGGTCCCGATAGGCTTACCCCTGAGATGTTTAAGGATGGTGGTCCAGTTTTAACGGTTAAACTGACCGAGATCCTAGGTAGAATCTGGGAAATGGACGTAATCCCATCTGACTGGTCTCAGTCGCTAATTGTCCCAATCTACAAGAAAGGACAGAAGTCCTCTTGTGACAATCACAGGGAAATAAGTTTAACTAATATAGTTTCTAAATTGTTAGCCTCGATTATACTTAGACGTCTAACTAGAGCTCGTGAAGAGCAGACTCGAGAAAACCAGGCTGGTTTTCGACCTGGACGTGGTTGTATAGACCACATCTTCACACTACGACAGGTCCTGGAACACAGACACACATTTAGACGTCCGACAATAGTCGTGTTCCTGGACCTTAAGGCGGCATTCGACTCAGTGGATCGTGAGGTTCTGTGGCAGAGTCTGTCATTGAAAGGTGTACCAAAGAAGTACATTAACCTTATACAAGCACTTTACTCGAACACCACTGGTCGGGTGAGAGCATATGGCGAACTGTCATCTGAATTCTCTACATCAAGTGGTGTCCGTCAGGGCTGTCCACTCTCTCCATTCTTGTTTAACTTTGTCGTAGACATCCTGTTAGAGTTAACATTAAGCTCGTCAGATTTTTCAGGGGTTGACCTTCTACCAGGAAAGTCGCTTACTGATCTAGAATATGCCGATGACATAGTTCTATTCGGTGAAGACGCTGACAAAATGCAGTCTTCTGACTACCATAAGCAACAATGCGAGCATGTTCGGGATGCGGTTTTCCCCCTCGAAATGCAAAATGTTGCTTCAAGACTGGGTTGCTTCGGCACCTGAACTAGTGATAGGGAGTGAAGTAGTCGAGCGTGTTGATCACTTCACATATCTTGGGAGTCTCATCAGTGCTGATAGCCTGGTGACTGACGAGATCTCAGCTCGGATACAGAAAGCTCGATTGGCTTTTGCCAACCTGCGTCACTTATGGCGTAGGCGTGATATCCGTTCGCTAACCAAAGGGCGGGTGTACTGCGCAGCAGTTCGTTCCGTTCTCTTATATGGCTGTGAAACATGGCCGTTAAGAGTAGAGGTCTTCCGTAGGTTACTAGTATTCGATCATAGATGTTTGAGAAGCATTGCTCGTATATCGTGGGACAGCCGAGTAAGCAATGCTGTCGTTAGGAAACGAGTACTAGGTAAGGATGGCAGATCAATAGATGAAGTGGTGAAACTTCATCAGTTGAGGTGGTTGGGACATGTATTACGTATGCCTAACCACCAACTGCCTCGACGAGCTATGTTTTGTGGTGTAGGAGTAGATTGGAAGAAAGTTAGGGGCGGCCAGACCAAAACATGGCAGAAATCCATGAAGTCTCTGACAAGTGGACTGAGTCATGTCGGTAGATGTAGACTACCTGGTTGGGGTCCGCGAGACAAAAGTCATCAATGGTTAGAGACCTTGAACGACATTGCTCAAAATCGTTTGCAATGGCGCAGGTGCATCCACTCTTTGAGCTCTCTCAAATCCTAATCTTCTGGATTCGTCAGCACCTCTACCTTTGTCTTTCTAACCTTATCTCACTGAATTATATTTTTTGAATAATATCTTAAACCCTAGTCTTCTTTATTATAACATTAATACCTCTACTATCTTTATCACTATGGGATTTGATTTGACATTTGCGTCTCTGTGCTAATAATGTGGTATGGCAACATGAACTTATGTATATACGTACGAAGTTCTACGTTGCAACTGACTGACTGACTGACTGACACTTGCTACAATTTGGGAACGTGTAGCGAGTAGAACTAAAAGGATATTAACAAGAAAGGGAATATGAAAAAGATAATTACATCTTACAGGTCATTTAGTCAGTTACAACGCAGAACTTCGTAGGTACGCACATCAGTTCAAGTCGCTATACCACACTAGCAGAGAGAGATCGGAGTACTTATGTCACTTAAATCATTTCGGGACTGTCGTATGCGGTAATCATCCATTGGCTTATACTAACTAATGAACCAACAACCAATAAGTTTACAATTATCTCATTACCAAATAACCCGGGATTTATAGAGTACTAACACCATTGGTGACAACATTAGACATTCAAAAGGAAAATATATTTCATTTTAAACAAAATATACACTTTTCATACAGTTAGTCCTTCTCAGACATCCTTACGAGATGAGCATCGATTTCCTCGACCGTTAATTTTCTGAAATTAAAACAAAAATTCGCACAAGTGACAGATATATAAGTTAACAAGTCACTTCATGAAATCAAGCTAATTGGTATGCGACAGCAATTTAGAAATCAACTAGATACCCCGAGATTTTTTAACCCTAAAGATGCAGTAGAAACAAAATAATAAATTAGCTAATTTACTGACTTACTCCTGTTACCCGTTAATGTGGTTCAAGTTAAAAAATTTAAAGCGTACAGAAGGGGAAGTAAAAAAGTAAACAAGAAGCAAACAGGCGAACAGGTGGAAACAGGTGGATAGTTGTTAGTGGGACATAGATGGAATTAAAGCACGACTACGTTGCTGCGCGCTGATTGGCTAATTTCCTATCCAATCAGCGCCTGATCGAAGCTTGGAGAACAGGATAGAAAATTCTCGTATTGATAGCTGCATGCTGATTGGTCAAATCTAATCCAGCCGATCACGTGAATTTTCTTCCAGAAGCTTTCTCATGTAAAGGCTATAAATAGACTAGCGTTGTATTTATTCTCGCTTTCTTTGCCTTGGCTTTCGCCATCACCTCCGGCTTCTTGTTCCTCGCTATTTTGGAATATAATCTTTCCTGTCCAACCGTGTCTTGATTTTTGGGGACTTGTCCAGTGTTTTGTGTCAAAGAATACTAAGCAATAAGATTTAGCCGGGAATTAACTAAGTTACCGTTACAACAATAGTAATAAAATATCTATGACTTAAAGGAATAGCAGTGTGAAATCATTAGAGTGATTTAGGCAAACTCTAAAGTGAACGATATCGTCTGCTGTGTGAAGAGTCGTTCTTTGAAATGTTTTAATTTCTGTGACAACTTTTGTAGTGGGAGACCATAGCTCGTCCCAAAAAACAACGCATCTTCTGATAAGATTATATCTCGCCTATCGGGTCATTACCAGCTTTGCAGTAGATGTAGACCAGTTAAATTATTCCTCCGATTGTTTCACCCATCCCCCCAACCCTCTTTGCTGCGTGATCACGGTCTAAAATTACTCAGAGTATCACGACCATCTAACTCTTTGATACCTGCTTTTTTGATAATTTTTGTAAGTCGTCCACTATCAACGCTGCTTAAAAATATCTGCTTCCATCGTCCATGTTTAAGTTGCCTTGGCACTACATTTTGCTCGAAACCTAACGGGACGAGTTTCCATCAATTCATAGATCCGGGAGGCACCACGAAAACCAACCGACTTATTGGATGAAATCACTAAAAAACATTGGCGTTATTTTATGGCTATTTGGAAATATTGCTAAATTATCTCGTGGTGAAGAGAACGTTTATGATGGAATGTTTTTCTAGATGTTTTTGAAACATGTTCTTGGTCTTTTCATGATTAGGATAAATTCTGAGAGGTTTTATTGTTACAGTTTTTCTGAGTACATTAGGCAGATAAGTGCGTACTCGCATTAGAGCACAAAAATGCACCCCATATCAGGCAGTAGTCTTTAAAATACACTCCAACTACGGCTGATAAAGAAATGGTTTATTCCAGCTCATCAAAAAGTCAATTTTAGTGGTGGTGGTACGAGAAGTTTCTCGTTATATTTGGTGCTTGTTTAAAATAAACGGCTGTCAGAGCGTGGTTGCAGTAGATAGTCACTGTTATCTGTTGGCTGAGCTGGAATACCGTAAGGACTACATAAGTGTCTTTTAGTTTTGATTACCTACCTATAATTACTTGGCACGGTTACTACATTTGAGCACTTAGCCCTTTGAATATTAAAAAGCTTTTCGTAATACTTGTGTTTTTCCTTTAACCGAATTTTAGTCAAGGGGACTGTAGGCAGGGACGATGAAAAAGATAGTGTCCCGTTCTCCTAAGTTGCGAATGACACTTTATAAAGTCAGATCGTTAGCAATGAAGTTATAAGAGAACGGTTGACAATAGAGATAAAAGAAATATTACAAATCGATCAATGAATCTGATCATGAATAGAATGACCTTAAGTGCTCCCAGAAATATGTGGGCGATTGTTCTCTTATAGCATCCCAAATAGTGATAAGATACTTTTCCTTACCGCAACTGAAAAGTGGTCCTGAAAACCTGGGAGCATGACTACAGAGTGCACGGAACAAATTTTTGAGGTCAGTCACAAACGGTTGCTTGCAATAAGTGTTTAATGTGTTCATTCAGTACATTAAAGGCCTTACTGCAGGCGACAAAAATTGGTGCGGAAATGTGTGGTATATCATCCTAAGGCCAAACTGTCTAAACCCCTCAACATCCACTGTGGGAAGGTAGCATGACTGCAGGTAGAAGTTGTCTGAAAGAAACATTTAACTGCTACCACATCCATGTACAGTGAGCAGTAGGACGTTGCCCTTCGACCCTAAGTTGGCATTAATGAACCGGACGTTATATCACCATAGGCCAATACGACTAATATCCTGGAGCTGTGTAATCATTTGACAATAGTGGATGTTGTATCCGAGTCGGACAATACAGGGAAATCAGGATATTTCGTTTTTGAATATGTTTATTACGAGACAAGCTTTAAATCACATAGCAGGTCGAGTTAAAGTTGTTGGTGTCGATTACAAGCATACATCTAGAACTGATAACAGCCTTTAAAATAACCAAGTTAAAATGAAATACTTTCTAAACTCATTTATGCATTCGCCACTAAATCTACTCCATTTAGTTGTCTAACCGAAACCATTTCAATTGAAGTATTATTGCCGGTCTCAGTCTTACATGCTACTAATAACTTCTCCATTTTTACGCATATATACATTTCAGGCATTTCGACTAAACGGATTGAAATAACAACTCTAAATATTGGTAGACTCGTCCAACAATATATTAAGTTATATGCAGACCAGAAGTAAAAGTTAAACATGGGATCATGAATGTCATTTCAAATAAGGACATACAAACGTCAAGACGTTTACCTGAAGACAGGATCTGCCTTTGATACGACCGCAATTTCCAATTCTGTAGCCTTAAAATCCATTGAATGAGTATGTGAAAGACAGCTTATAGCCAGTTCGATGGCCTCTTCCAAAGTGTAGTTTTCTTGCTTTCGGAACTAAAAAAAGATACATAGTGTAAGACTAACATGTAACTTGAAAATTTTCAAAGAACTCAGCCTGCAGACATATTAAGTGTTTGCCGGTCCCGAGCTCGGATAAAGGAGGGTTGTATGTGAGGTCGGTAACCCCATCCCGTCGAAACAATCTAGCTAAGATACATCAGACAGAAAAATATCGTTTGCAAAAGTTAGCCTCTGCCCTGAGTGTTGGAAGGTATTTACATAAAACGGTTATGACGCTTCATTGAGAAAGCCAATGCCTCTCCTGACAATTAGGGCAAAAATTAACATAGATACATGGAATGTCCGCACAATATGGGAGGCCGGGAGTACGAGTTAAGTTGCTGAGCAAATGCAAAGATACAATATGGAGGTATTTGGAATAAGTAAGACCTATTGGACACAAACTATACAGAAAAGATTAGCTTCATGAAAGATTCTGATGTACTCCGACCATAAAAATGCCTCACAAACAAGGAGTTGAGTTGATGCAGTCTGAAGAAGCACAGAAAGTACTTATAGGATGAGGATCTCATGGACCCAGGATCATAGAATTATTTAGAACGAAGAGAATTGTAATGAATGACATCTAGTGCTATACACCCAAAAATAAAAATCAGCTTTACGAGATGCTGTCAGATAACATCGTAGAGAACCAAAATGATCACATTCACATAAATAAAAATTTCAGAAGGAATGCGGAGAACGTAAGAACACAGAAAGGAGCTGGCACGATTTTATAACAGTTGGTGTTATCCAAGATGAAATTGAAGCTAAAGAAGCACTGCAAAACTGGGCAAGTAGTATTACAGAAGTTTGACATGGCCTTGATAAACTCAAAGAACTCAAGACTTCTCAAAAAGTAAGTTCCAAGCCTTAAACAATCGACCAGAAGAAGAGAGAACTACCATGAAGAACTGAGGACCTGATAAAGCTATAACTACAAAGTTTCAGGTGCTAGGTCACAAGAAGCATCAACATAACGAGTAGGTCTCTGTTAATACTCTGGATAAGATCTAGGAAGAGAAGAACAGAAAGAAAGCAATCAACAACAGTTAAAAAAGAGCAAAGAAGTTCAGAGCACAGGCTGAATACACAGAAGAGAACAAACAAGTGAAGTGGAGCATTAAAACTGATCAGTGAAAATAAATGGGAGACCTGGCAATCAAAGGCGAAAAAGCTGCAAGAGAAAGAAATGTTACATAACTATGCGATACAACAAAGAGGCTCGCTGGAAAATATCGTAAACCAGAACGATCAGTGAAAAGCCAGAAAGGCAAAATAATCACCAACATTAAAGAACAGTGAAAAAGGTGGGTAGAGAGCTTCGAAACACTCTTGAATTGACCAGCACCACTGAACCCACCCAACATCGAAGCAGCACCCACAGTTGTTGATCCACCCACAATTGAAGAAATCAGTGTTGCCGCAAAGCAGCGGGATCGGACAACACTCTAAATGAGGCACTGGAACCAGACATAACAGTAACTGCAAAGATGTTCCACACCCTGTTCGGCTAGGTTTGGCCAACGGACTGAAAAGAGGGATACCTCATCAAGTTAGCACAGAAGGGAAATCTCTCCAAGAGTGATAGCTACAGAGGCATCACTCTACTCTCAATATCAGGGAAAGTCTACCATAGGATGTTGATAAACCGGATGAAAGATTCAGTAGATGGACAACTTCGAGACCAGCAGGCCCCATTGAGTAAACATCGATCGTGTAACAATCAAATACTGACACCACAGATCATTTTGAAACAATCAACTGAATCGAACTCACCATTATTCATCAAATCTCTTGACTACGAGAAAACACTTGTCAATGTGAACAGGATGACACTGTAGAGGCTTCTTCTTTGACACCACAGTGTATCTCAGAAGACAGTCAATATCATGCAGATTTCTTATGATGCACTCGACTACAAAATCATGCATGGAGGATAAGCCAATAGACTTCTCCTAAGTGAAGACCGGTGTCAGGCAAGGTTGCTTACTCTCACCGTTCCTCTCCCTCCTGGTGATTGACTGGATTATGAAGACGTCAACATCTGGAGGGAAGCACGGGATACAGTCGACATCCGGGATGCAGCTGGACGATTTCCACTTCACAGATGATCTCGCTCTTCAATCGCACACACAACAACGGATGCACCAACTAAATTACACTTGATGCAGATGCCTTGGAGGAGGACGTTAAAACCTTTACATATCGAAGCAGCATCGTTGATGAGTAAGGTGCATCTGAGACAGGTGTGATGGCGTGGATTGGCAAAGCAACGACAGCATTTCCACAATCGAAGAACATATGGAACTCAAAACAACTATCAACCAACTCCAAAGTCACAATTTTCAATACAAACGTCAAGCCAGTTCTATTGTATGGAATGGGAACTTGAAGAACCACGAAAGCTATCATCCACAAGATACAAGTGTTTGTTAACAGTTGTCTACGCAAAATACATTGTGTCCGTCGTCTAGACACCATCGACAACAACCTAGCTGAAGAAATTAGGATAGGATACACATTGACGAAAGCACCCAACTACTTCAAGAGACTACCCCTTTCTTGAAGCCCTTAAAATCCAGTAGAAAAGGAAGAATAAATAACACATCACGCCGATAATTGGAAGCAGTTAGGAAAAAAATGAATGGCAGCTGGGAAGAACTAGGAAGGTAGGCTTCTGACTGCGTATTGTGAAGAACTCGGTTCGGAGATCTATGCTGCACGATGAATAACAAGCGTTAATATGCAATGATAAGCACGCTTTCTGAGCGGCTTTATGGGAATTTTGCCAATCTTCAGTTTGATCAACCTTGTCGATATTTCTGATAGCGATCTACCGTAAGTTTTAAGCACTGCGATGAGATATTATATCCATGTAATCTTGAATGATAAGCTACGGGCCTATTAATTTTAACATGTACTAGTAGCCAGTAGCTCAAGTGGCTAGGGTGCACAAGACACTACTCAATGTACAAAAATAGTGTAAGGTTAGTCAAATGCCTATTATAAACAAGGGTATCTGATAAATTTGTCCATGCCCAGAATAAAAACTGCTTAAGAACATACTGACTGATTTTAAACCGATCTATATTATCTGTGCATACTTAGAATGCTATCAACACGAGACTTTTAGCGAAGGTAAATGACCCTAATAACAGCAAGTTTACCTACTCAACATTGTCACATGAAATATTGGACTTCAAGATCAGCTTAGGTGTACCTCATTTTCCAAGTGACGCATGGCTTCTGTTTGCTTATCACCAACAGCGACTGCTCGATGTCCTGCTACAAACCCACTCGGATCAGACTTGTACATTTGGGGTTTCCCCAGTTCTTCATCAAAAGAAATAGCCAACATGGCACAACCAAGTGGTCTCATTTCAGCAGATTGTGTGTATACTTGGTTGATTTCACCTATGCGATGTAACAGAACGTCACACGGGATTTCATAACTACAAGCGCATTGACGTCAGCGCAAAAAAGTATAGGATTACAAACCCAAACTTGTGTTTGAAAGTTGCAGCTTCATATCTAGCTCGCTGTACTTGGGCGCGACAATCTGGTGCCATACCCGTCATGATGCATCCAGTAGAATCCGTAAGACGAAATATGCGTGTTATAGACTTCCGGTCGATCAATTTATCTGGAAGCTTCAGTTGGGCAGCAATAACTGCACAGTCGTGGCCTCGCACACCCACGGATAAATGACCATCAAGGCTTATAGCTTTGAAAGTGTATTCTACTTGATAAAGTCGCCCCTCTGGTGAAAAAATGGTCATAAACCTATCAAAACCGCTGGGAGTCGAGGCGCTCATTTCGTATGGTTATGAGCTATCAAATCTTTCGAATCAGGCGCTACTTAAGCTTCAACATTCAGTACCTTTTCCATGGGGTAGCGTAAACCGACTGATTTCTTTGAGCTCACTCCCTACTGGTCGATGCGGTTCCATTTCTCTAGTAATGCTCAGTCAATGATATTCTAGCCACTCAGATGCACTGGTTATAGTCAGATGGCATCTATCAATTCATCCGTCACGTGAATTGCGTGAGTGCGTTTTTCTCAGCAGTAGGGTTTGTTGATACCAGCATCTGTCATATCAACAGGCCAGAGATCAGCTAATTGCAACGTGAAAAGTAATAAAAATGAAGAGTTAGGAACTAAGTAAATAGATAAATAAGTTAATGATTAAATATCCACTATCTTTTTCACGAGCTATAGTAAACCAATTTGATTTCTTCGCGCTCGATTCTTGTTCTTTCGGTACGGTTCCAGGTGATCGGTAATGTCCAATGGATGGAGGTCTAGCCATTCGACTGTCTAATTCTAGTCATTTGTGAGTTGGTTGTGAATCTGTATGTCTCAGGATTTGAATGAAACGTTTGTTTCAGGGCAGTAGGGTTTCTGGATACTAGCAGCCGTCACATTACCAAACCGGAGATCAGTTAGTTGCAACGTGGAGAGTAATAAGGGTAATAAGGATAAAATCCTAATGATAATATGAATAAAATTTCAGAACTGAGTAATCTATAGATGAATTTAGTTTATCAATTGGTAGTGAAGATTGTCAGAGAGGACCGAAGTGTAAGCAAGGGAGAAGACAGATTAACAACTAGCAGGTCTCAAGATATGCATCAGGCACAGCTTGTCCAAGAGGGAGATGATAGTCCGTATGTGAGTACGTGATTATCAAGTCTCTTCTTAAAGCAGTCCACTGAGGGGGCTGTAAATACCTCGGCTGGGAGAGCATTCCAAGTTGCGGCGACTCGCAATGAGAAAAAGTGTGCACGAATCTGAGTATTTGCTCTTTGATGTGCAATCTTTCGAAGATTGCCTCGAGGGGAGTGGTGGTGATGCATCGGTAAGATGCTCACATTGGGATGGTTTGGCGTGTTTAATATGGTGTACGCCATAATCAGGTCACCTCTGATTCTCCTGTAGCTCAGTGGGAATAATCCCAAGAGCTGGAGTCTATCGTCGTAGGGTTTATTTTTCAACCCTATCACCCATTTGGTTGCTCGTCTCTGCACTCGATCCAAGAGATTAATGTCTCTTTTAAGCAGAGGGGGTGCGATGACGTGAACGTCCAAGTGTGGGCGCGCGTACGTCTTAAACAGGGTTAAAAATGATTTCGGGGTGATAGCACCAAGCTGTCTTCGCATAAAGTGAAGAGTCGCATTTGCCTTGGTAATGAAGATAGTGTGAGAGGACATAGGCGTAAGAACAAAGGGAGAAATATGGGTGATAATTAGCGAGACGGAGTGAGATAATGATAGAGGTGATGCGACAACAATAAACTTGATACATTTGGATCTACAACGTAAGATAGAAACTATCGTTTAAAATTATTGATTAATCGAATGGTTAGATCTTTATTTTAATTGTGTAGCTAATTATTTCAACGCTGAGTAAATAGTTTGACGCATCATATCAGAGGACTTATTCCAGTGGTGAATCCAACCAACTGGTCCATTTGTGCAACATATTTATGTTATGGATTACTGGTCTTGCATTGCTGAATATAAGTTTAATTCATCCGACTATCCCAATCTCGTTTGTGTTATTGCTATCTGTAATTAATTAACAGATTTAAATACATCATATTTGACCATTGTGTATTTAGCACAGGTTTTATTGTTTTTGTTTCAGATTAATGAAGACCATGTCTAGATAATCTGTTTTATTCCCGAAAATAGTAATTTCGTAGTTAATCAATCATTTATGGTCGTACCAACATGTGAAGCTTCAAGAAGGAGCTTGATGACTCTTTAACCCACAACATTTTTTGAGCAAGGATCTCATAGGCAGTCTAACAAGTTATATTTTAAAAAATGTCGGTGATTAGGGATCATCTAAATCAAGGTGACTAGTTGTTGCCAAAGAGCCATAGCACAGTATACCTGAGCTACTGAAGTGTGAACGCTTTTCTTGAGGCTTTTTGCTAAGGGGAGGTCCACTAATCCCGATGACGTATGCATCAATGTTGAAGACTCACAAGACCATCTATCCACAGACTGTTTGCGCAACGACAGCTCACTCCCTCGCTCTCACTGGGTGGTGAAAACGTAGATATGTGACAATCCAAAAGTTCAAACACAACCAGCTTGTCATGTGCTTATACTCATCTGATAGCGTGCTACATTTGGAAGCGTCTTATGACCTTTATTCCTCTGAGTTTTCTGATCCAAAATAAAAAATCTACAACGAAAATTATGATCCGACATACTTAAAGTTCAAATTTTTGTTTTTCCATTGGTTGCAGGGGGGAAAGAAGCCTACTGTAAGTGCATGTCCAAAACAGTAGTGTAGAATTAAAACGTTCAAGATTATCCGTATCTAGAGGTATACACAATGAAATAGCGAGAAAAATTGAAATTGAGATAAAACTAAATGAGACTAAAAACCGTTGTACATATAGTGGTCACTGAAAGCCTGTCGAGGACGATTTTAGGTTCATTTCCGCTTTTGTCACTGATTAATGATAATCATAATTATGGTGATAAATTATTCTCACTGACTTCACGAGTTACAGGAAGGAAATCAAGTTACGGGAAAGATCAAATTGTTACATATGATACGCATTCCCAATAACTGAATTGTTTAGTTTGATTGGTGCTTTTGACTTAAGTATTGATAAAGAGACAGGATAACAAGTTTTCAGTGGTGAAGTTTGAACGTGCAACGCAAAACGAAGAGCCTTCTTTATGGCTTTAAGTCATAAAGCTTGTCTGCTGTTGGTAAGTAATGAAAACGTCTTACGGATTCTGTAGAGTTAAAAACGACGAATATTTGGCTTCTACTTTGGTACTTTTTGTTATTGATCTCGAAGTAGCTGCTATAAAGGTGAGTTAGCTGAAAATGTTGGTTCATCTTGACCGAACAGGAACAATGTTAATTGAATCGATCGTTTTTGAAGGTCAACAAATCCGAAAATTTAGGCTCATATTCACTGAAGAAGACGCAAAGCTTGACACTTAAGAAAGTAGTACAATTAAAGATGGTCAAGAAACAAACCGCTCTTCGTTTTCTGTGGTCACACTTGGGAAATTCGAAGATTCGTATTACTTTCTTTCTCGACAGACATTTCCTGCGTGTGTTTTGCGAAAACAATATCAGCGATTTCATCAGAAATGAATTTACTCACAGACATGTTAACATTCGCTGTAGTTAGGAAGGTTCTGTAATATGCAGAAGAATACCCAAACGTCTTTAAGGGAATGTAGCGTGTGGGGTCTAGATTGACAATGATCATCACTGAAGACCAGTTACGTTCCAATCACAGAGAAAAAATTGGATTGATACAAGAGAATATATTCGCTGGCGATGTCGGGGTTTCGAAAGAAGACAGAAATCTGGCTAGGGGAGAGGAGCGAAATTACAGAAACAGGGGAGCCAAAATGGCAGCAACACAAACGAAAAGTTTGCGCTTACAGAATATAATGAACAAAAAGGTCAGTAAAACAATCATTGGTACAATTGGCTATAATAATAAATGTTTCTATTAAACCAATCGCGTTGGCTTCATAAATATGGAGTCGCTACAGGAGGAAAGAAAGAAAAGAGAACAATAAAATCAAGATACATGCGAAAGTGATTTAATGTGTGTGTTCGTAGGATAATGTGATGTATAAGCTAATACAAGTAAGAATTATAAATTTTAAAACAAATAACTAAAGTTTCAATACTATTAAGTTAGGTTTTAATTTAAACAGCAACGAAACAGCGTGATGCGATGAAATTCACTAATAAAAACTGAAAAATTTAATTTAACACTGATTCTGGGCTGTCATTTTTCTTCGAGGAAGGCAAAATGAATACAAGCAACCAGTTGTCTTCAGCAAATATGGTTTTTTAGAAGTTGTGGGACAGTAAAGGTAAAATATCTTAAATGCGCTAATGATATATTTTATGCTACAGTTTTGGCAGTCGCTAGTGTCGCACTCCTGACAACTGGATGTTGAGCTCGTAGTGGAACGCTTCTACGAAGAAAATACGATTTGTGAAAAATAAACATTATCGTACTCGTTTTGTTTAAATGTACCAAAAACACTTCTATTACTTCTTGCGTGCAACGTTCTCTTCGCGTTGCTGCCATTTTTCTAAATGCCCTGCTCCTCATGTAATATCAATGTTCTCCTTCGATAAAATACTCAACCATGGATTTACTTTGTCTTAAAGACGGGACCGTACGCAACATTTAATGGTGAGCATATTCAATCTGGTATCCTGACACGCTCACTGCAATTGGTGAGTCGACGTTTCTTCAAAAGAAGTCAATTATGGTGAGTCTATTATTTGTCTGTCACCATTTTATAATGTTACAATACTAATAATAATGTCTTTAACATATATTATACTTGCAACAACGTTTCGAAATGGTAGATAAACTATAATAATAGACTCCAAGGTGCAGGTCATTGCATTTTCATCTGTCTCCTTCCCGTCACTTCAGGTTGTTGGTTTATTTTACGTGCTCGATTTTTGCACTAACGCTAGGTACTTGGTGGCCACAAGTGCCCAAGTTCTTTCGTATCGTTTGGTAGCAGTAAGTCATAAGCTACAATGCTTCGACCACGCGCTGCGGATGGCTCTGTCATTCCTACCTATGGTACACGACAGCTAACTATCAACCTGAATAATCGACGACAGTATCTATGGACGTTCATCCCTGCTGATGTCCCCATAGCCGTACTCGGTATCCATTCCTTACAGCACTATGAATTGCTATTCGATTCACGTAGGTTGCGTTAATCGATAATTCGTCGAATATCAAATCCATGGTTTTTAACGCGCAGACAGATATGTACTGAATCACCAATATTTATTTTTGCATTACTGTTTATTTCATGTTATATTTGACGAGTTCCCCAAAGTAACGAA